TTCTTTGAATTAAGATGAGTCTAAAGTTGCTTAAGTCGTTAAAAAAGACGAGTTGATGCTCGTGGTGGAGAAGTTGGGATTAGTAATTCCGAGCGGGGCGAAAACTGTTACTTTGAAAACTTTAATAGAAAGTTCAGAAGTTTATGCAAATGACGCTGAATTTGTGCAAAATGTTATTGATGATACTCTAGAGGAAAAGAAATGCAAAACGAGAAAAAAAAATCAGAAAACGAAATTAGTTTAGAGTTACAGAAAATACAAATTGAAAAACAAAAATCGGAAAATGAAATTAGATTAGAGTTAGAGGAAATAAAACTTTCTCAGTTAGAGGCGGAATTAGCTTTAGCTAACACAAGGAAAGACTTGATACAAAATCCAAATGTTTGAAACGGACAACTCAAATCGAAATATGGAAAATTTAATTAAAAGTGTAAAAACATTAACACTTTCTGTACCTACTAAAGCAGAATCCTTTAATTTCTTTTTGCAATCAATTGAAAGGGCATTTAGGACAAAACAAGTATCTGAAGATTTAAAAGCAGAAATCCTATTAAATATTTTGGGAGAGAAGGTCACTCATTTAATGGTACATGTGAAGGAAGAAGATATTAATAATTACGATAAAATAAAGTCCATGATTTTAAAGGAATTTCAACCAACCCCTCAAGAGTGCTTAAATCATTTTCGTTCCACGCAAAAATTGTCATCTGAGAATTTTGTACAATTTGCATCAAGGTTAAGTGCAAATTTTGAATATTATTGTCAGTTGAGAAATTTAAAAGATTTTAAATCATTATGTGATCTTATGGTTTCGGATAAAATATTTAGTTAACTTGATCGTGAATTAAAGACCCATATAGCAGTTAAACAGGGAGAGACATGGTTCGAAACCCAAACTTTAGGTCGTGAATGCGATATTTATTTATCATCAAAAGATAAACAACAACAAGAATCCCTTTTCGCAAAATCATTTACAGGTAACGATAATAAAAGAGGCGACGGAAATAATGTTAATAAACTTCGTAATTTTAATTACAAAAATATTTCTAATGTATATGTATCTGGAGTAAGAGATCTAACATGTATTTTGTGTAAAATTATTCCAAACCACTCGATACAAAATTCTCCTAATTTTAAAAGGCTTTCAATAAATGAGCATGTTGAAATTATTAAGCAAAATAACCTTTATTTTAAACGTTTTCTTTGGGAAAGCTAATCATTCTATGATTCATTTCTATAAACAAAATAAAGCTCTTTCTAAACTAGAGAACCGTGGCGCCGAACAAACTCAGTGCAATGCTTCAGTGTCAAGGTCAATACAAAAATCATTTGTGCTATTACTCACTTGCAGTGTATATGTTAGCTCTATTGATAAAACAAAATTCAATAAAATGACGCGAATTTTATGCGGTAATGGCTCTGAACAAAGCTGGTGTAGGAAGTCCTTTGCCTATTGCTTAAAATTAAAATCAATTAGCAAAGCCTACTGAGAAATTATACGAAGTAGTACAATTAAAATTATCTAGCAGATACAACCCTAATCAGTGTATTCAAATTGAAGTGCTAGTGGCCGATACTATTACAGCGGCATGTGTTTCTGTTCCAAATGAAGAAGTACAAAATATTATGCAGTCCCGGGTATTAGTCTTAGCCGACTGCTATGACAGTGATATAAATTGGAGCAGATGTGCTTTGGCAGATTATTGAAGCCTCAGCTTTCGAAAAAATAAACCGGGAAATTACTTGCGTGCCAACGATTTTCGAGTTTGCTTTACAGGGAAGTCAAACCAAATGTTAAGACAGCAGTTTCAGCAAATTTTTGTGTAGCCGCTTCAGATGTTCAGATATTGTGGGAACTTGATGCTTTAGGAATTAAAGAAAAAGAAGAGTTAAATGTAGTTGATAAAGCGCTGATAGATGAATTTGAGAAAAATTTAAAATTCGTGAATGAGAAATATGAAACTGATTTAGTATGGAAGTTTAGTTACGATGAATTAGGAAATAATTATTTTTTAGCTAAAAAGAGGTTTGATGAGTTAGGACAGGATTTTTCTAAAAATGATTGGGTTGCTAATGAGTATAGGAATATAATAAATGACCAAAAACAAAATGGAGTTATTGAGGAATGTAAGAGAGATGAGCATGAGTATTTTATGCCTCATAGAGCAGTTGTTAGGGAAGATAATGAAACAACCAAAGTTCGTATAGTCTTTAACTGTAGTTCAAAATCTAAAGGTAATATTTCTTTAAACGATTGTTTGGAAATTGGCCCAAATATTCTTGATGTGATTCTAAAATTTCGTAATTACAAAATAGCGTTTAATGGTGATATAGAGAAGGCTTTCTTAATGATAAAAATTTCTGAAAGAGATAGAAAATGTTTAAAGTTTTTTTAGTATTCAGATAACTCTAGTGAAGAATATAAAATTATGAGAACGAAAAGACTACCCTTTGGATGTAAAAGTTCCCCTTTCGTTTTGAGTGCTACGATAAAGCATCATATAAAAATATCATATAAAAAGTAAACCGAAGTCATTTGAAATGCTAAATTCATCACTTTACGTAGACGATTTATATTATGGTGGAGACAGTGTGAGAGAATCATTTCAGTTGTCGTCGGATGCTGTATCAATATTAAAGAGTTGTGGATTTAATTTGAGGAAATTGAGTTAGAACAGTAAAGAATAAGAAAAATTGTGGATAGAAAATGGACTTAGTGACAGTGAGATAAAGGGAATTCAGCAGCTGAAATTCCTAAGGGTGAATTGGAATCCTGATAGAGATGAGTTGTCGCTGGAGGTGAAGAGTTTGGTGGATTCGTGGAAAACGTTGCGACGAACTAAAAGATGTGTTTTACAGACAGCTGAAAGAATCTTTGATCCCATTGGTTTGATTGCGCCGTTTGTGATACGTAAAAAGTTATTGTTACAGGAAATTTGGGAGAGAGCGTGTGATTGGGATGAGAGTTGCCGGAGGACTTGTAGGAAAAGCGGATAACGTGGTGTAACGAAATTGAAAAATTAATAGACGTTACTATTCCGAGATATTGTTTTCTGGATTGTGAGAATGAGCAATCGGAAGTATATGTGTTTTGCGATGCTTCACCAACTGCTTACGGAACTGTTGTTTATTTTAGATATTGTGAGAATAACGGGAATTACAGAGTATCTTTTATAATGTAGAGTATCACCGTTAAAGAAACTAACGCACTGTTGGTGCTAATGGCCGCCATGGTAGTAGGTGCTAGAGTGGGAAATTATTTATTAATTAGTAGTGTTTCCAAGGATAAAATTGGAAGAATAGTGTTTTGGGGTGATTCTTGTATTGCGTTGCATTGGGTGAAGGAAAGTGCGAAGAGATGGAAACAGTTCTTTGCCAACCGGGTTGTGGAAATTCAGGAAAGATCGAGTCCAAGTGATTGGGATCATCGTCCCCGCAGATTTGCTTACTAGAGGAATCTCGGCTGAGAAGTTGGTACTTAATGAAAAATGGTGGTCAGGTCCAATTTGGCTTCGAAAAAGTTTTGAGCGTTGGACTAAACAGTGGGTTACCAAATGTAGACAATGAGGAAATACTAAAAGAGCAAAGAAAAAATTTTGTCAAATGTTTTGTAGTTCAGTTGGAATTAGTTGAGCAGCTTTGGAACAAATTTTCAGTTTGGAGTAAGTTGCAGAGAGTTGTTGCTTGGTGTTTTAAGGTTTATAAGAAATGTGAGGGGGAATAGGATTTTGACTCCTTTCTTAGAAATAAGTGAACTAAAAGAAGCGCATGATATTATAATCAAACTAGTCCAAAGAACTGTGTATACAAAGGAAATAGCTACTTTAGAGAAAGCGAGAGTGTTAAAGAAAAGTTCTTTAATTTCTCTAAATCCGGTCTTAGACAACAGTGGCATACTACGTGTAGGAGGAAGTTTAAGAAATGCCAGCTTACCAGACTCTGTGAAACATCAAATAATATTGCCTAAGAATCATCCTGTTACAAAATTGTTAGTGACATTTTATCACCTTAATTATATGCACGGAGGAGTACAATTAGTTATTTTTGCGATGAAACAAAAGTATTGGATTATAGGAGCAAAAACTGCAATACGCAGAGGAATAAGAAAGTGCGTTATCAGTGCCAGATTTTGCTCTGAGGTTTCGAAACAAATGATGGCTGATTTACCTTCTGCGAGAGTGAATCCCGGAAGACCATTTCTTAGATCAGGAACTGACTTTTCAGAACCATTCTTGATCAGCCCTAGACGTGGTAGAGGAGTCAAACCACTGAGAATGTACGTGTGTGTGTTTGTATGCTTTGCAACGAAAGCCGTCCATTTAGAACTTGTTAGTGATTTTAGTGCTCAGGCAAGTATTGCAGCTCTGAAACGATTCATAGGATATAACGATAAATAAGTGTAACGAATTTTAAGAGTGCATTTATACTATAGTGGTTTATGCACTATCGACGAAGTAGATTTAATTCAATTCAATAAGTTTAATGAAATGAAGGAAAAATGCATATAATTTAATATTACATACAAGGAAGTCATGTGGTGTACACATCAAATTTTTTGCTTTAAATTTAATTTTAAAATATGCGCTTGCGGAATTTACCAGCAAAGGAAGAGCACGCGATAAAACTTTTGCAGGAATAGAGAATTTTGCTACAAAATCTCTAAAGGAACAAAAAAGAGCTGCGTTTGGTTAGATAACCGGTGTTGCGCAATGTCAAGTCTCTGCAGTTTCCTAATACATTTTCAAATAAAAACAGATTTCTAAAAAATATTCCCTAAAACCACCAACTTGCCCCCTATAAGTAACTTTTACCTCGCCAACTTGTTGCGTTGGTTAATACTTAAGTACCCTTTAAAAACATTTGTGTGGTACAAGATAGAGATGAAATTTCCCAAATAGAAAGAACTCCTATGATTGAGCACAATAAGTTTCTCGCTATTAGATTGGATAATTATAAAGCATTATAAATGAACATATGGAAGGGAAATAAATGAACAATACCTTGAACGAAATGCAAAGAGCAGAAAAATGCAACTGCTCCGTAAATGTTCTGCCAGAAGACAAAAAACAACATTTTGTGGGATCAGGATCTTCACATTTTGGGCGAAATATTGAACCTAAAAAAATAAAACAATACAGAAACTAAATAAATATTATGATTCATTTAATAACTTTACAACATATGATATATTTTTAAAAAGGATTTCAGGAAACATACTTGAGAATTCTTTGATTAAAATATATTTGGGAAAACTATAGAGGCAATTAGATAGAGGAGATCGAACTAAGTAGATTTTATAATGGGGCACGGGGGCAGAAATGACGCCTTCGGGAAGGGGGGTAGAAATCACTACACATCAACGCATATTTTATATATGGGGCTGCGGATAAAATGGAGCAGCTATTCAGTAAGATATTCAGTTGTTCTACAAAATGGCAACAATATACGCTGTTTTTCAGATTACTAAACATCTTTTCTCTCCGACTACTGCCAAATCTAACACTGAATGCTTCATTGAAGATCCAAATTAGATTTTAATAGGTAGAATTTAAACATCTACTTATGAATCGGAAGAAAATGTTCGAATTATTATAACCCATTTTACGCAGGTTTCTTTCGTTTCTATTGTTTTGTAATTATATCATAGTTGGCAATGTCTTTAATGCCCACACGCTGTCATTTTTATTCATTTCCTGTTTACAAAATGATCTCAAAACAATTTCGGAATTTATGCAGTTTTGGAGAAACACATAACAGCGAAAGTTATTTATATTTTTCCTTCGAAAAATTCCTGTTCGGGGACTATACACTTTTCCTTAAATACGTAATGCTGACGAACGTATGGCATTAGGATTATGTTATGCTTTAACAAGATTTGACAGAGTGAAGATAAATCTGTGCAAGCTTCTCATTTCGAAAGAAGAACTAAGTGAAAAACTGGCATAAGGCAAGTTAAGAAAATATGTAAAATGTTCAAAAGTTAACCCATTTTAATTTGCTGGGTATAGTAATAACATGATTAATTCGCTAGATATAAAAATACCCAGGTTAAGACTTCGGTTGCGTTTCCGTGTTTAAGGGTTACATAACATTTTAACAGCGTTTAAGGGTTAACTATTAAATCGGAATATGGACAAATAGAAATAAAAATGACTCAACTAGGAAAAGTTCAAAAAAGGCTTCTGCTTTAATTTTCATACTATCTCATAAGGCTAAAAGAAAGGGAATAATAAAATTTTGAAGTGGATTTAACCTTCAGTTTGTGTAGTACGGCTCATAGAAGTTACGCTAAATTACTACGAATATGGCAAAGCCACTAAAGCTATCTATCTAAGAGAAGGCGTACCTGCGGAGGACTTTCTGAGCGGCTCAAATAGAATAGTGGTTAAAGGAGCCTACTGCGATACCGGCCTGGTTCGAAGCCAGGTGAAGGCATTGAAGTTTGTAAATGTATATTATCGGTGTGGTATGGCGGCACTCTTAATACACAGAGAGCCGAAAGTCCTCTCGAGAGGTTGTTGGTATGGGAAGAGAAAGATGGAAAACCCTTGGACCCGTCTCCCCAGGGTTTCCATCAAAATTGGGAACTGAGGAGAGTCATACTGCCACCTGTATGGTGCTCAAGACGACATGCGCAATCTTGGTGTCCTTGCGACAATGAATTTCGTGGGCTTATTCTGAAGTTACTGTCAGACAAGTAAGATAAGTCACAACAGGACGTTCTGGGGAAAACTAGCTCGTATTCGTGTTACACTTGGAAAAATCCACGGAAACCATGCAGCCAAACCACTAGCCTGGGTTCGAACCCAAACCAGGTCGAACTACTAGTATGCATTCTTTTTTAACCATTCGACCACTGGTTGGGGAAAGACTAACAGAGTTCTGTGCATCATATTTCACTCAAAAGTTTGTTTCGTTTGGAAATGTGCGCGCGGTTGCTTTAATTTTCAAAGATGCCAAATATATATAATATTTAGGTGAAATTATTAATAATTTATATGAATAAAGCGTGATATATTTGAAATGTGTCCACAAAAAAGAGTAATTTTATTTATGGGACATTTTAAATAGAATATAAGTTTAAACATACCAACTAAAGATTAAGTTAAATAACTCTTGGTTCTTTTTAATTTGTTTTAAGTAAGAGGATTTTGATGAAAAAGGCCTGTTTTGATACAATTATGAAAGGATAACAAAATATTCTTTTCTTCTTATTTTGAACCAGACAGCAATGACTGCTCTCAGAATTATAACCATTTATGTTTAATTTAAAAATTTAGGTATTTACTAATCATGCGCAAAGCAGTTATAGAATAGTTATAGAGGTACAACTGTATACGTCTGCTTTGAAATACGTTCTATTTGGAAGAGAAAATTTTTTTCTGCTATACGATATTTGTTTGAAATATGACTCGAGTTCGATGAATCACGAGCGCACACGCTACACCTGTTTACCTCTTTCGGTAAGACTGTCAGTAAACGTCAGTATCTTGTTGCTGCTATTTCGTAAACAAGCCGAATTATAACTCTGAATTTTCAAGTCATTTTCCATTTTTTTCACTTAATTTTTTTATAAATTCATCATCGAGTTTTAGGAAAATTATGAGAAGCAACGCAGAAAATTGTTGATCAAGATGGCACAAAAACATTTATGTACAGTATCATCATGTAAAATTGCTTCATTTATGTACAACATATATTCCACCCACTGTATTTGAATTTTAGTATTAATCAGCGATATAGTGATTATAGTAGGATTTTTTTATAAGAAGAGATTAATTATTTTCCCTTTACTTCTCTTACTGTAAATGTTCATTTGGTATTCGTACAAGGATCCTGAATGGATTAATAACGTGTACCAAAATACCATTGTACTTTTAATTTGTGTTTTCCTCTTTGTCACCAAGAACTCCTGTTTCGTTTAAATAAGATTGTAAATTGTTTATTATATTTTTGAGGATTTTAGAATTCAAATCAAAGTGCTTAGCATTTCAGAAACCGAGTTTTAAACTCTATTTTTTCTTTCCAGCCATTTTGAATACCTATCTTTCTCGCCACCTTCTAATTAAAAAAATACATACGGTCTGAGGCTGAGGAATTCGCAGTCTTTGAATATGAGCAGTGAGCTGTAAAATATGATTATTTCTCTTCGTCAGCAAACCGAATTCCGACGGGGACAACAATCAAGTTAGAATTGGGGATTCAGGCAGTCAAGAGCATGATTAAATACGTGAAACGGCAATTAAGCGACCCAGCTGAAAGTGCTCTGGAATTCTGAGTATGCATCTCTGTTCTTCGGTCTGTTAATTAAAATTGTGGAGTCACAATAGGCTCAAGTACAGGTTTCGATCGAAATGTGGGTCACTGCTTTTCATATTCCGTCCGAGTAAGTAAAGAAGCAAGCTTTATTATGTAGTTATAATTATACCAGAGTGCCTGTGATGGGCCTGAAACTGTTAGCTTGAAAAGAGAGTTTATGAAACTTATGAATATAAATTCTAATCTGAAAGACTTGGATTTTGGAATTCAGAAATCATTTGTTATTCTTAATAACCTGCAGTGTACTTTGCTTTGTTAGGTCACTTTTCATTTTCCAGAAGCATCTGCAGCCATTTTTCTTAAGATGCTAATCCGTTCTTTAATTTTAAATAATAATAAAAATATCTGAAATGGGCAATTAATTTCGCTTCATAGTGTCCTACTTTCCATATGGCCAAAATTCATGATAAGCTAAAAGTATCTTCCCGATTTTATTATAACGTCTTGTGCGCTTTGCTATCATAAACCAAGCTCCACGTTCGAAGACTGTTTAGGGAACACTCGCTAAGGTCTTAAGATACGACAACTCGGGAGAAGGATGTAAAGAACACTTTATTAACTCAAGTTCATAGATGGCACCAACTCGTGCTACAAAAGCCACACTTATGGCTTAACTCAAAAGGTAATGTCTAACTTAAAATTAAATAAAAGTTTAGCCCAACAGCTTCACAGGTTAACTATCATGCAGGCAGGCTGTGACTTGGAAGTCGGCATAAACAAGTTGTGGTAAGAATAGCTCAACGTCATAGAGCTCTAGAAAATCAAAGTAAAATCATAATAAAGTAATCATAGTAAAGCGGCCTTCAGGCAGGCAGAACCCGCTCTGAATTCACCTTCCAAAACCTTCTCTTAAATTTTAAGTTCTTTCTAACTCATTTGAATACACACGCGTTAGATAATTTACATTCTGGCAAGAAAGTGTGAATTCAAAGCAAGAGCGATAGGAAAGTTACTTCAATAACAATTCTTAAACAACATCGCCATTTTTGTTTGCCTTCTTCTTGTTGTATATTTTAGATTTTTATACAGTTTTTATACACAAATCGTTATATTTTTTGCCTTAAACGTAATTTTGTCACTCGACTCGTCATCTACGAATATAATAATAGGCCACAATTTACTTCAATAGCAAAGTAATGTTTTTTATATTTTTCCAGGCGAGAGCTAAAGTAAAGATAGCAATACGAAGCTGAATACGAATTGCTTTTGAAAGGTCATGAAGGCTTTCTTCAAAGTTCACACATCAACGGACGTATAAAAAGAGTTCATCTTTATATTCTGGATGATGGCTTTGTTATATTAGGCGGCGGAAAATAAAACATAAAACTCGTCCACATTTAAGTCTCATGTTGCTAGCTCATTACGTACATTTTTATCTCATAAACCTAAATTTCGGATTTAAATTTTGATCTACAAAAGTGCCGTTACGAGGCCATACTGTCGATTACGAAAATTTTTACAGTAATTCACTAATGCTGTTATTTCTTTCGTGTCAAGTCGTCAGGCTTTAAATTTTAGAATAACTTATTACATCTTTTTTTCAGTTCAGTTTCAAGGCAACTGACAAACCTAAAGTGGAAAGGAAAATATATTGCTGTGATGTATTTACGACCCATTCCGGTTTCAACATTTGTCACAAATATATAAGTAACTTAAAAATTCGATAGCCATTGTTTTAAAACACTCCAGTCACTTAACATTCTAACAAAATAACAAACGTGTAAAGCTGCATAATTAAAAGCAATTCTGACATCCCCTTCTCAAAGGATATCAGTCAAACCGAAAAGACGTCTGGAA